AAGTTAAGACCACTTTAAATCGCATGTAAAAGTGTATCAATCTGTAAGTTTTTGGGCAGCTTATAAGCATGCTCCCCCCCCCTTTTTTTGGAGGCATAGGAAATAAAATTAAGCCAAGTATTTATTAAATAAATAAATATTTTTTTAATTTCTACCCCGCCCTTCCCGCTTCAGAAAACCGGGCTCAGGGCGGCTAACAACAAATTCAAAACACTTAACTGGTGCAACAACAAAAACAGCATAAAATACAGTATAAAACGTGTCACTGAGCTGCTTCTGTTACCCTCCCTCGTGGGTTTTCTCCTCCATTAAGATCAGGTTCCCATTCAGAATTTCAAAGAGATTTAATAATAATAATAAGTTTTATTTATACCCCTTGCGGCTAACAAGCAATAATGAAAACAAGTTGAATGAATACAACTTAGAAACAAGATTAAAATACAACATTAAAATATTGAAACATTAAATTATTAATATTTGTGTCCGTTTAAGGCATAGCTGTCAACATTTCCATTTTCTTGCGAGGAATCCTATTTGGAATAAGGGAATTTCCCTTTTTTTAAAAAGGGAAACGTTGACAGCTATGCTTTATGCCTTTTTTAATTTTTATTTTTTGGAGGGGGTGTCATAGACATTTGTTGGGTGGGGCAGAAAAGCATATCTCTCTCTCTCTCTCTCTCTCTCTCTCTCTCCTTCCCCCTTTATTAGTACCATGCATTTGTAAGCTGGAGGGGCACCCAAAGTCATCTAGTCCACCCCCCTTGCAAGGCAGGAATCTCCACCCGAAGCCGTCGCTAGGAGGCTGCCAGGCTCCCCGGGCAATTTCCACACACCCACCCCGGCCAGTCCTCACCTCTCTCGGGGCCTAGGGTCGGGTCTCCCCACGCAACCCCCTTCCTGGGGGGCAGAGGAAGGCTACGCGAGTCCCGGGCCTGGAAGGCGGCAGGGCCGGACTAGGCCGCAAGCCCGCCCTCGGAGTCCCAGAGCGGGACGCGGTTGCCTCGGCAACCGTTGCCATGGCAGCATCCTCCGGGCTCCGCTCAGGGAGAAAGGATGCGATGGATCAGCGAGGCAGCGGCGCGCAGTTTAACCCTTCGACGTCCAAATCCCAAATAAAAATTAAATAAAAAAATGAGGGGTGCCCAAAAGTTGCGACGCTGCTCGGGGTTTCTAAAGAGATAACGTAATTTAGGTTCGCTTGGGAAGCGACATGTGTGTAAAATGGCACAGAAATACTTTTTAAAAAATCAATTGCCAAGTACCAACGCATTCCAAAAAGACTGGAGATCACACGTTTCAAAAAACATGGGGGAAATGCAGAGAATATTTATTTATACAATATTTGAAGGACCATTGTAAGCAACTGACAACGCTAGCAGGGTTGTGAGAAGACTTGTAATGATAATTGTTACTACCTTTTTATATTTATTTAAAAGTTGAGATATTTTGAATGAGTGAAACATAAATTGGAAAATGTATAACTGCTATGATATAAAAAATTAACTTTGAAAACCATGAGGCGGGAGGGAGGGAAGTCGACAGGCTCATACGAGGAAACGAAGTAAAGGGGATAATAAGGATGTGTTCAATTATTATAAAATGGAAATCTAATTAAAAAATTATAAAAAATGAGGGGTGCCCAAAAGTTGCGACGCTGCTCGGGGTTTCTAAAGAGATAACGTAATTTAGGTTCGCTTGGGAAGCGACATGTGTGTAAAATGGCACAGAAATACTTTTTAAAAAATCAATTGCCAAGTACCAACGCATTCCAAAAAGTCTGGAGATCACACGTTTCGAAATAAATCTTAATCAGAGTAGGCTGCGCTTTTCTATCCAAGAATAAAAAAAGGTTTTTTAAAAAAGCAAAAAAATAAATGGGGGAAATGCAGAGAATACTTCACAAAACAGTGCCCTAAAATGCACACCTGGACTTGTTTCGATTAATGTGTGCAGGAGACTTGGTGGATATTTAAGTTATAATTGGAAAAAAATCTTAATTATTATTAGGAAACAGTTTATAAGGAGTAAATAAGGAGGCCAAATCAGGATAAAAGTAAGTCTTTTATTTGGTTGTTTGTATTGTTAGGTTCACTGTATGTTATGTTCACGTTTAATGAGGGTGGATTTGTGTATGGGGTGTTTGTTATGTTGTAAATAAAATTCCAAAAAAAATTTAAAAAGGAAGAAAAAAGACTGGTGTAAATTTATACAGTATTTGAAGGACCATTGTAAGCAACTGACAATGCTACCAGGGTTGTGAGAAGACTTGTAATAATAATTGTTACTACCTTTGTATTGTATTGTTAGGTTCACTGTATGTTATGTTCATGTTTAATGTGTATTGGGAGGTGGGGGGTTGTGTTATGTTGTAAATAAATTTCCAATAAAAATGTAAAAAAGAAGAAAAAAAGTGGAGTAAATTTATACAATATTTGAAGGGCCACTGTAAGCAACTGACAATGCTAGCAGGGTTGTGAGAAGACTTGCAATGATAATTGTTACTACCTTTTTATATTTCTTTAAAAGTTGAGATATTTTGAATGAGTGAACCATCAAATGGAAAATGTATAAATGGTACGATATAAAAAATTAACTTTGAAAACCATGAGGCGGGAGGGTGGGAAGTCGACAGGCTCATACAAGGAAACAAAGTAAAGGGGACAATAAGGATGTGTTTATTATTATAAAATGGAAATCTAATAAAAAATAAATAAAGAATGAGGGGTCCCCAAAAGTTGCAACGCTGCTCGGGGATTCTAAAGAGATAAGGAAATTTAGGTTCGCTTGGGAAGCGACATGTGTGTAAAATGGCACAGAAATACTTTTAAAAAAATCAATTGCCAAGTACCAACGCATTCCAAAAAGACTGGAAATCACACGTTTCGAAAGAAATCTTAATCAGAGGGAAATAAAATATTGAAACACAACCAACTTGCCTAGCCTACCTCACAAGGTTGTCGTTGTTAGAATTCCTGCTCCATGATTGCAGTCGTGGGGTTGTTGTCTTTCACATGGCAGTATGTGTTTTGACTCCACAGAGTGGGAAGTTACGGAGACAGGATTTTGTGTTACTGTTTCCGTGAAGTGGGACTGTTGTCCTTAGTTTTTTTCTCTTTGCTGTTTGATGCTAGAGAGGGAGCCATGTTGCAGTGCTCCGTGTCTCGCTGTGATGTTCGGGCTGAAGAAAGCTTATGAAGCTCCCGATTGACCAGCAGGGAACATGCCAGTCGGGCATGTGTCTCTGCCAGGGTCCTACCCGAGCGTAGGCTGAACTCCTGACAGTGACATGTTATGGAACCCATCACTGGGCACCCACAGCGTTCTCCCCAGATCTAGCATCTATAGCCCTAAATATGAGTTTGGCAGGGACTTACTTGCCCCACTTGTGGGGTGACTGAGACAAACCCTTGATCCCTTCATGTAAGCAAAGTTCCAAACAATTGGGGGAAGTTAATCTGCCTTTTTCAGTATGTGCTTTACAATTAATACTAATACCAATCAACCTTCGTTAATCTATGCCAACACCAACTATGGGAAATGCATTTCTCACGGAAAACTCAAGGTTGAGGTTTTGTGTCAGTTTTGTTGCTGTCCGGCTCAGGAATCCTTGATGCGCATGTTTTAATAAAGTAAACAGACCCCCTGCTTTATCAAAACCTACCCACCTGTTCTAGCCACAGAGTTTGTTTGTTTGTTTTTTTTCATGCATAATTTTTATTGGTTTACAAAAATCAAAGCACAGAACAAACTGTATCGATACTCATATTATTTCACCGAAAGTAAAGAATAAGACTTCCTTCTGTCATTCCACGAATCGTCCAAAGTAACAATAAACAATAAATCCGCGTTTCCTTGTTTGTAATGCCGTAAGTCATTCTCGTTCGTCCGTTTTCCTTTGGCATTACCCTTTACCTCTTACAGAGCACCTTTGAAACCCGCTAGTGTTATCTGTTCATCGATTAAGCTTTCCAGATATTTCGTAAAACTTTCCCAATTTTTAACAAACCTCTGATCTTTTATATATCTAATTTTACCTGTCATCCTGTCCATCTCCACATAGTCTATTAGTTTGGATCTCCATTCCTCCATTGTCGGTAAACTCTCTTGTTTCCAATTTTTAGCTATTAGGACCCTTGCTGCCGTTGTTGCATATTGGAACAATTTGTAATCTTTCTTCTTTATCTCCATTCCCACCAAACCTAGCAAGAACGCCTCGGGTCTTTTAACAAAGGTATATCTTAACATTTCTTCATTTCATTATATACACTCTCCCAAAACCCTGTGACCTTTCGGCATTCCCACCACATGTGGTAGAAAGTCCCCTCCCTTTCCTTGCACTTCCAGCATTTGTTGCAGGATCCGTACATTCTGGCTAGTTTAACCGGGGTCAAGTACCAGCGATAAAACATTTTCATTAGGTTCTCTTTAAGTGACACACAGGCCGTAAATTTAAGATGTTGTTTCCAGAGTTTTTCCCACTCTTCGAAATAAATGTTACGGCCGAAATCTCTAGCCCAGTGTGTCATTACCGCCTTGACCTCCTCGTCAACTAAGTTCCAGTCCAGTAGATGCTTATACATTTTAGATAATATTTTTATATTATTCCCCAAGATCTCGGTTTGGAATCTAGAATTTTTATCGGCATAGCCTTTGTCTTTGACATCTTTCCTAAACATATCATTTATCTGGTAGTAGTGCAGCCAATCATATACTTGGGATTTAACCTGGTCATACGGCCTCATTTTCCACTTTCCTTCCTCCTTCATTAGCAGTTGTTCGTAGGTTGCCCAGTTGGCTCTCATATTGGTCTTTTTGATAGCCATAACCTCTAGTGGAGATAACCATTGGGGTGTTCTAGCCACAGAGTTTGATGCCCATCATGCATTCCATAACTCTGGGCCCCTACAGATCTGCCTATTTTCTTTTCTACTTCCGCTCACAAGGGCAGGCAAGTATGCCGCAGAACAACACAAAAGACAAAATAACGGACTACACAGATGTGGTTTGTGGGAGAGTACAATTGTTCTCATGTACATATATTTAATAAAACCAGAGCCACTGAATTAGATTTACACTGCATTATTTAACATCACTCAGACATTATGATATAATCAAGGAATGCAGGCAGCCTGGCAGAAATTTTATAGACCTGAAATTCCATTTCAGCCACAGCTGTTAAGTCCCATTAATTAGTTGTGAGCAACAGGATGACGACAGTGCTTAGTGAATTTTGGGGGGGATATAATCACCATCATCTGACTGCTAACAAATACATTTTTTTTTAAAAAAAAAAACTTATTGAAGGGCAAGCAATCTCCCCAACTTCATGCTGAACCACTGAGGGAGCCAGTTCAAGGTTCTGAGTATTCTTGGCGTCGTCTCCTCCTGCAGCTTTGAGCTGGCGAGGAAGACAGGGGGCTGGCTTCAACATTGAGGTTTGGGGTGATGTGACAATCAAGACCTCACCTGCTCAGGAGGAGGATCAGTTGGTGGCAACAACATCATTTTGGCTAGCTACTGGGGGCGGGCACAACCAAATCCCCTGCCCAGGAGATCTTGTTTCACTACCAAGGTCTCAACATTCCACGTTTTCCATCAAATGTTGAGAACCATGGTCTGTTTTTGATTTGGCCCCGTAATTTCACTACAAGGGTTTTCTATATTGGGCCCCCACCCTGCGCAAACAAGCCTCTTTAAAATATATGCAATACAGAGTGTGCAATTATTATTATTTTAAAAATAATTCAAGAAACTGCAATGCCCTCCGGTGAAAATAAGTGAATTTTAGAATTTAATATTGTGCAATAAATAAAAGATAGCAAATAATTTAATCTATGGTAAGAGTCGCTTGTCCACAACATTTGTTCCAAGGGAGTTTAAAGAATTCAGTGAGAGAGAGTTAGATTTTGTGTTCTGCTAAACCCTGTACACCTCTACCAACATTGTCTCGCTTGATTATTTCGCAAAGTAAAGGAACAGCTTCTGAAGAGGCAATTCTGGACCTCTAAGCCACAGAGTGCCTAAGTGCCAGGGATGCATAGCGAAGAAGGGTTGGATGCTATTTTTTAAAAAAGTATCAGCTGATGGTGTCACTCAAGCCAAAGAGAAGAACAGGTTTGAAGTCACTGACAACTTAATGTAGAGCAACACTAGCAGCGTAGAGGTTAACACCGTGCGTGACGTGGATAGAGTTACAGAGCCGCTCCCTTGTGCTTGTTATCACTGCAGAGCCATTTCCATGTGAGGTCTATCGCTAGAGAGTACATAAGAACACCAGCACACACAGGTTTCAACTGATGGCTTCCTAGGGCTTGGGCTTGGCCCAGTATTCTTTATACATGGAATAAAGGACACCTGGAAGAAGAAAAGAAAAAGAGGGTTAAGAGTTCATAGAATCATAGAGTTCGAAGGGAGCCTGATGCAGGAATCTCAGCTGAAGCAGCCATGGCAGATGGCCACCCAACCTCTACTTAAAAACCTCCAAGGAAGGAGAGTTCACAATCTCCAGAGGGAGACCGTTCCAGTGTCAACCAGCTGTTACTGTCAGAAAGTTTTTCCTGAGATCTCCTTTTTTGTAACTTGAAGCCTTCGGTTTGAGTCCTACCTTCCAGAGCAGGAGAAAACAAGCTCAAAGCTATCTTTCTTTTGCTGGAAATCCTTTTTTCTTTCTTTTTTTCTTTTGGAATATTTTATTAGTTGAATATAAGAACAACATATAATCAAATAGGTAAAGGGACCCCTGACCATTAGGTCCAGTCGTGACCGGCTCTGGGGTTGCGGCGCTCATCTCGCTTTATTGGCTGAGGGAGCCAGCGTACAGCTTCCGGGTCCTGTGGCCAGCATGACTAAGCCGCTTCTGGCGAACCAGAGCAGTGCACGGAAATGCCGTTTACCTTCCCGCCGGAGCGGTACCTATTTATCTACTTGCACTCTGACGTGCTTTTGAACTGCTAGGTTGGCAGGAGCAGGGACCGAGCAATGGGAGCTCACCCTGTTGCGGGGATTCGAACCGCCGACCTTCTGATCGGCAAGTCCTAGGCTCTGTGGTTTAACCCACAGCGCCACCTGCGTCCCATATAATCAAATACAGTTTTCCTCTAACCCCGCCCCCAAACAGCCCAAACGACATCCAGGTAATTACATTAGTAATATAGTCAAATAATAAATTATTTCTACAGTTGCTGGTTTAAAAAAATAGCATTCCACATGCTCCCATGTGCCTTAGGTGGTTTAAATGCATGTTCTTTCTTTAATGCATATGTAATAAAGGAGGACCACGTTATGTAAAAGTTATGTAGTTTCTCACGTTGTTTTCTTTCGCGTACCCCTTCTGTTAACTTTTCCATCAAAATAAATTCCCAGACATAAGTATACCAAACTTCATATAGGTTCACGTTTAATGTCCTCCAGTGTCTAGCAGCAGCAAGACGTGCTGCAGTTATAAGATGCACAATTAAGTCTTTGTATCTCAAGATTTTGTGCTTCATCTACAAATATAGAAAGCAATGCTATTTTGGGATCTAAATTAATCGACTGAGATGCAGTTTGTTCCATTTCCTGAAATATTTTTAACCAGAAGTTTTTAATCAATGGGCGGCAGCTAGAGGACCTATCCCAAACATGAGAAGAGTGCTGGATCAGGCCAATGGCCAATCTAGTCCAGCATGCTCCTCTCACAGCGTCCCAGCAGATGTCTGTGGGAAATCTGCAAGTAGGAGTCAAGCCCAAGAGCCCTCTCTCCTCCTATGGTTTTCAGAAACTGAAGCCAAGCAGCCTTCAATAGTCCTCTTCTCCACAAAACAGTGGACCTCACAACCTAGAAGGCCTATGCCGCCCTACCAAGGAAGTCAGATTTAACATAGTGTGTTCCGTTACATGTTCTTACTATGTGAGACTGACATCTTCTTGTAGAGTAAATCAACAGGGTGTGTGTCAAGGTATCTGCCAGGGATCAGTTTAGCTGTTTCTTGTTTAAGCACCTCATCTATTCTATCTCTGCAACCTTCTTTGAAGTGAAGGACGTGAGGCAGGAATTGGTAATGCAGGTGAGCTGTGCACAGACAAGCTGCCAGCTAGTTCTGCCAAGGCTCGTTTTTTAGCACAATATGCAAAACGAGTCAGATACATTTTGGACTGTGCCCTTTACATCTTCCAATCATGCGATGGTGGGGTGGTACAAAGTTATTTTGGCACCTGTTTCCACCCCATCATTTTCCCCTTGAACAATGTATGATGGAGACAAAGGTCAAAGACAGACCACAGAGAAAGCCAAAGGTCAGATAGAGGGCATGATGTTCAGACAGCTGTGGCTTGTCTGCGGGTAGAAGTGTGCTCCACACCCGGCGGTCATTCCTTCACTTCTATCTATCAAGACATACAGTGGTACCTCTGGGTGCAAACGGGATCCGTTCCGGAGCCCCGTTCGCATCCTGAGCAGAACGCAACCTGCGTCTGTGCATGTGCGGGTCGCGATTCGCCACTTCTGTGCATGATGTCATTTTGAGCGGCTGCGCATGCATGAGCGGCGAAACCCGGAAGTACAGTGGTGCCTCGCAAGACGAAATTAATCCGTTCCGCGAGTCTCTTCGCCTTGCGGTTTTTTCGTCTTGCGAAGCACGGCTATTAGCGGCTTAGCAGCTATTAGCAGCTTAGCGGCTATTAACGGCTTAGCGGCTTTAAGAAAAAGGAAACAAACTCACAAGAACTCGCAAGACGTTTCGTCTTGCGAAGCAAGCCCATAGGGAAATTCGTCTTGCGGAACGACTCAAAAAACGGAAAACCCTTTCGTCTAGCGAGTTTTTCATCTTGCGAGGCATTCGTCTTGCGGGGCACCGCTGTAACGTGCTCCATTACTTCCGGGTTGCCGCGGAGCGCAACCCGAAAGCGCTCAACCTGAAGCACATTCAACCCGAGGTATGACTGTACATAGACTCTGCCTAACTATGCAATCAAGGGGGGTGTTTGTTGTGCTGGCCAATGGAAGCAGAGTTAAGATTTAGGAACTGAAAGATTCTTAGATCCTTCAGAGCCCTCCATCATGCCCATGAAAAACACCTGCCCAGGCTGCACACAAAGCAGTAAGAGATCCACTTCCATACTAGGAGGGAGAGGAACTCACGGAAGCACATATATCGTGATCAGTGATCCGCCACCTGATTATCAGGGCTGTTGTGGCTTCCTTTAGGAACACAGAAAACAGAGTGCCCAAGCCAGGACCGGCCCAAATCAAGACACCCTCTTCTCAGGTACCCTGGCAAACTGAAAGGTTTGCAGGGAAAGACTTGCTGCGTACCTGAACAAGACACAAGACTTTCTGGTTTTGGTACGTACCGCAGGTCATGGCCCCCACAACGAAGCCCTGTGCTGCTACACGCATATGAATCAGATGAACGGACATTTTGGTGTCCCCTCTGTGCTTCAGCTTGTACAGCCCATAGGCCACAACGGCTGCAAAACCTGAAATGCCTAGAGAAAAAGGGAAGGAAGAGTCAGAAATGCCTTATAAATTCTATATCTCTTGTATGCCAATGCGGCCAGCCACTGCAACACCCTCAACCGAACTCCTGATTAAAGTGGCTGGGGGTGACGACAACTAGTAGTGCTTGGGATCCCAAAAGCTGCTCAGGTTCATGGAAGATGTCTGCACTGAACATCTCTTTCCCCCACTCCTCCATACAGTGTCACAAAATGCTTTCGAAATGCCTTTCAGTTGCAAAAGCAGCTTATCATGTGTAGTGGTTTGGAGTTACTCGTGCGTAAGCCGACCCCGTTTGGGTGCTTGGTTGCCTGGTTAAACCCTCCGGACTGCACAGCCCATCTCCGCTTGACTGCCTCAGTCACTGGCAGAATCTGTCTGTGGGCGTTTCTTAAACCTCTGCCAGCATAAAAGCTGTTTGACACCTAATCGTCTCCGCCTCTCATTGCGCAGGAGTCTCCTGCGCAGGGTGGGCATGGGTAGTGGAGTGCCTGGGCTCTCTTCACTGACTTCCAGGGAAGAATCCCGGAGCCCTTCCACCTCCTCTTTCCCTTGCTCTCCTGGACTCTTGGTGTCACGCGTATTTCCTTCCCCTTCCACCAAGCTGAGTCTCCCCCTTGTGCTAGGACCTTCACCTGCAGAATCTGAGGCCCTCTCCTTCTCCCGTGTCTCTGATGTCAGTTCCCTGACATCATGCATGTAGCACAAGGCGTGCGGAGCCTCAGGGCCACAGGCCAATCTTGGCTCATTAGGCCATTTCCCCAAAGTATCTTTATCACATTGCCCACTATATACAGAGGTGATTTTTAAATTCCTTGCTTGTCCAGGAAAGGTGTCTCTCCCCGGTGGAGAGGGTTCTCTGGCTGATCAGTGACGCTAATGCTCCAGTGACACTTACAATGTGGCCGACTTTGTGCTGGTGGCAAGAAAGATCAGGAAGAAGAACCTGGACAAAATTGCAGGAGGCTGCAAGGGAGATTCAGAGGTCTAAATGGGAAAATATTGTATGCCGTGTGGAGTCCCAATCTATGGGTGCACCTGCATTTTATGATTTTCATGGTTCAGGCAGTGGCTGTTTTTTATATACAGTTATATAGTTATATAGATACTTCTCTGATAGTGTTTTTATGGTTTTCCCATCGTCTTTGGCTAGTACAATAAAGCTTATTTACTGACCCAAAGCATGGCAACCCCACATTTGATGTCCCATGTGACTCCCCTTCCTGGAACAAGCAGGCTTCACATTAGGTGTGGGGCAAGAACTGACATGCCTTTAAAGGAATGATCAGGAGCTTACAGTGAGCTCTCGATTGTTCCTTGGCTAGACCAAGAGGCACATGGGAGCATAAAACTGTTGTTAAAATGGAGGGTGTGTGTTTATTTTAGGAGCCATTTCAACTGAAACCACTTCCTCCTACCATAGAGAAACCTGTTTCTGGAGCTTTAAAAGCAGGGTGGCACACTTTGCAAAAGGGCTTTCAAATTTGTCCCACCAGGGGTGGGGAGATACGGATCTGGTCCACCAATCAGAAAATGTTAAAGGGTCCCCCACAAGGATGCAACACCAAGGTCTGCCATCTGAAAAAAATCAAGTCTAAAGCCCATCCCACTCTACTCTACCGCTGACGGAATTAGATGGTTCTTTGGATTTTGGCCAAAGTTTAAGGACACCAGTGAAACTTGACTCATCAGAGACTACCGTAACTACTTCCACGAACAGTGTGCCTTGATATTAAGCAGGATATAAGAGTCAGATCTGGCCTGAAAAGACTTTACCAATGCTCCATAATCAGTTAGGCTGTGTATCTACAGCAGTGACCACAGGAGGGATAATGACTTGGAGGAGAGCTGTGGTGCATCTGCAGCAGAAAAACCATCCATCTTCCCCAGCTGCAGCAAAACACGTCTCTCCCATATCAGTCCCTACAGCCACAGCAGGCACTGTGACTCTCCAACGGTTTGACTTCACCTCCGAAGGCACACTCTTCTACTGGCTCCTGAGACAGACGGATGCCAGCCATTTCTAGGTGCAGTGCCAGTCCCCAATTTTTAAGGCATCGAGGACCAGGGTGGGGTGGGCTTGTACCAAAGCCATTTGAAAATCAAGAAAAGGGCCGATTTAAAACAAGTGACTCACTGACAATTGTACAAATCCTACCACTAAGTCATGTTAAATTTTCAGCTATATGAGAGAGTTATATACATCAGTATGCACCGACTTTTTGCCCTATAGACATTTAGGACTGTACCTCCTATATTCCCAAGCAAAACACTAAGAGGGCAATTGTGTACCTCAAAAAGAGGGCAATTGCAAGTGTCAGAGGGACTTACCAATTGGGACAAATGGAGACTCCCGGGATTTTCTTATTAGTTTTGAGGTTTGGCTGTCGTCTGTTTCATAGGTAGGGAGTGGACTTTCTGAACTGGATGCCATGATAACTTCAAGGAGAGAAGTGAACACACATTTAAAAACAACAACTGATTCATGCCCTAACTCAAAGTCCAGATTTTTCCTTTAACAGGATATCGACTTTTGAATTTGCCATAATAAATTACATATAAACACGTAACACTGTCGTTCAAATATCAGATATACAGTCAAACCTCAGCTCCCAAATGCCTCCGTTTTGGCTCCCAAACGCCAGAAGTAAGTGTTCCGGTTTTCGAATGTCTTTTGGAAGCCGAACATCCGAAGCTACCGCAACCAATCAGAAGCCGCGCCTCGGTTGTCGAACATTTCAGAAGCCGAATGGGCTTCCGGAACGGATTACACCTGACAACCGAGGTTTGACTGTATGCAAGAATAGAAATATTTTATTTACTTTATTATTTAACAACGTGTCCGGCTTGATAGTAAAAAAACAACTACCCTCAATTGGTTTACAAGAGGAGTAAAACAATATATATATTTTTTATAAAGACAACAATTCAAAACATTTTTAAAACAGTAGAATCGGCCAGAAGCAAAAAACACTCATCAGCATTCTACAAATCTGGCTAAGTTTGTCCAAACAAAAATGGTATATAGATAATATACACCATATAATTGGTGTATAGATAATATACACCAATAATACAGTAAAGGCACCTGGCCAACAGGCAAAGCATGGGTGCTGCCATACTAAATGATCCCTTTCTTACGAATTAAACAAGGATTATGTGAGTGGGACGCGGGTGGCACTGTGGGTAAAACCTCAGCGCCTAGGACTTGCCGATTGAAAGGTCGGCGGTTCGAATCCCCACGGCGGGGTGCGCTCCCGTCGTTCGGTCCCAGCGTCTGCCAACCTAGCAGTTCGAAAGCACGTCAAAGTGCAAGTAGATAAATAGGGACTGCTTACTAGCGGGAAGGTAAACGGCGTTCCGTGTGCTGTGCTGGCTTGCCAGATGTAGCTTGTCACGCTGGCCATGTGACCCAGAAGTGTCTGCAGACAGCGCTGGCCCCCGGCCTATAGAGTGAGATGGGCGCACAACCCTAGAGTCTGGCAAGACTGGCCCGTACGGGCAGGGGTACCTTTACCTTTACTATTAACAGTGCCAATCTTGCAGATCGAAGCAGTCACGGCAGCACATATGTATGCGGTAAGGTGATCTCACAGGTTAAGTTATCAATACTAACCATCCAACAAAGGTTATAGTTTAAAGACAAGGCAAAAGCACTGAAGTTGGCCACAGAATCGTAGACTTGGAAGGAACCACGAGGGTCATCTAGTCTAGCCGCCTGCAAGAATCTCTTGCCCAACATGGGTTCAAACCTATGATCCTAAGCTTAATAGTCTTATGCCCTACCAACTAAGCTGCACACTATGGCACCAGGAGATCTGAGGGCCGGATGGGAGGTGCCTGGAGGGCCTCATCCAGATATTCAGTTCCCCAGACCCACTGGCCTTTAATTTGAATTCAGCCTGATCTTTTATTTCCCTTCTCTTCCCTCCCCCTCCCCTTTTATGAAGATCACCCGCTCTGAGACCCCGCAGCTAATTCTCCCCTGGCCTCCTCGCTGGCCCAAGTAGGACCAATTCAGCCAGCTAGCCCTGGTGACTATCTAACACTTATTAGATGGATTTCCCTTAAATTGATTTCTGAATTTTATTGTTGTTCATGTCTTTATACTGTGTTTTTATGCTGCTTCTACAATTGGGTGTTTTAAATTTGTTGTTAGCCGCCCTGAGCCCAGTTTTTTGAACTGGGAAGGGCGGGGTATAAATTAAAATTTATTATTTATCATTATAAAGGGAAGATTAATTTAACCCAGGCATAGGCAAACTCAGCCTACCAGCTGTTTTGGGACTACAGCTCCCATCATCCCTGACCACTGGTCCTGTTAGCTAGGGATGATGGGAGTTGTAGTCCCAAAACAGCTGGAGGGCTGAGTTTGCCTATGCCTGATTTAACCACTCCTCTCCCAATACACTGGGTGAGTTATATCCCTGGACTAGGGGGGAAAGTTTGGAAGGTAGCTACTTGCAGAGCCCACCCCCCTTCCGTATCCGGTCACACAACACTGGATCCATACTTCTAGCTGCCCGATTCTTCCAGACCCTTCCCTGGTTATCATGGAAGACCCAAATCTGTTACTGTTTTAAAGAAATGGCTACCGTATCGCATACCAGGCCCCCTTATCTCAGTCTGTCCTCTCATACCCGAGAAAGCTTGCATAGCTCCAGCTGCTTGCCCTTGAATATATTCAAAAGTATCTGCGTATATAGCTGCCTACTGTGTCTCTGCAGAACGTTCTGCTCTGAGCTTGACCCCCACAATCTGCAGGGATGCGGGGAGGGAAGCAAGAAATATCCGCTGCCTTTTTTGCCCCTGGAGCAATCCGTCACTCCCAACAGACAGCAGAATTATTTGACCTCCAAGGACTCGGTTCATTGATGCAGGAACACCAGAGTTACAAAGGCAGGTTAGAGATTCACTCCTTACGAGGGAGTCTGCCTTTGAGGGATATCAGTCAGTCACACCACCAGGTTTCATTCAGGGAAAAAGTCTCCCTTACCAGAAGTCTTACCCCAGGGGTTGGCAACCTAAAGCCCATGGGCCACAAGCAGCCCATGGGGGTCGTTTAACTGGCCCATAGACCCCTGCCGCCCGCTCGGTTGGCTCCCGTGTGCCGCACTAAACCGGCGTGGAGCAGAGCGGGGACCGCCTTCCGCGACACTGGCCAGCGTCCCATTGGCGGCAGGAAGCTCCTGCAGCCAATGGGAAGCTGCGGACGCCTCCTCCGCGAAGGAAACCTCGGTGTCTGCAAGACCGTGAACTGGCCCAAGCCACAAAAACTTTGCTGACCCCATCTTAGGGTAAAGGAGACCCCTGACCAATAGGTCCAGTCGTGACTGACTCTGGGGTTGGGGCGCTCATCTCACTTTATTGGCCGAGGGAGCCGGCGTACAGCTTCTGGGTCGTGTGGCCAGCATGACTAAGCCGCTTCTGGCGAACCAGAGCAGCGCATGGAAACGCCGTTTACCTTCCCGCCAGAGCGATACCTATTTATCTACTTGCACTTTGACGTGCTTTCGAACTGCTAGGTTGGCAGGAGCAGGGACCGAGCAACGGGAGCTAACCCTATTGCAGGGATTCGAACCACCGACCTTGTGATTGGCAAGTCCTAGGCTCTGTGGTTTAACCCACAGCGCCACCCGTGTCCCGACCCCATCTTACACCAACTTTAAATAAGCTTTTGTTGCTACACACAGGGTTTTTCCCACTACTTCTTTTGAGGACACTAAGTTCCCATGGCCTTCAGTTGTTTTAGCAGTCCATCCTGTTTGCGTCACCTGCTCCCATAATCTTTGCTCCAGTTGCATCAGAACTTCACTGCATGCTCCCTTCCGGATGTGTGTGTCTCCAATTGCATCATTACAGAAATGCTGGCTTTCCTGGCTATACAAACTCCAAGTCTCCGCTCTGCAACTTGCCAGCTACTCCCAAAACCACAGTAGTAGTGACTTTAGCAACTTCAGTCACTCCCATTTCCTCCTCCAGCACTTCACTTAACTCCTTTTCCCAATTCCTTCCTTTCTACTGCCCCTAATGAAGAGCTTGAGGGAATTAGAGTCATTTTAAAGGAGGAGTCCTTTATTTTTTTGAATGTGGTGTATATGTCTCAGACAAGATCCTTAAGAATCTACCCTTTAAAGTATCCCTCAATTGAGAATTTGTAGTTGGTTATGGCAGGGAGATTACTCCCTAAACTAGAATGTCTCAAGCAATTCTTCATTCAACCTCCTGTAAGAGGAAACAATGAGTGGTTTCGAAAATAAGATGCCAGAAAGAATTTCCAGACACCAAAGCTATTGCTTATTGAAGACTATAAAATTATTAGTATTAATTGAAAGCATTAGTCGCCCTTTTTGCCACAGCAACTCAAAGCAACTCACATTACAACATTCCACCCGCTCTAAAAGGACATGGATTGTTAAAAGCAAAAGGCCTTGTTAAAATGGCCCCCCAAAATCTACAATTTCAGAAACATTTCTGGGGCCTCCCGCCCACCCCACCCATTTCTCAGCAGCGACTCCAGAACTCCAGCATGTGGTTGCAGTTAAAGGGCTGGACTGGGGGGGAGGCGCAGGGAGCCACGGGTTTGACTCCTGACCTTGGCCTCTCTCTGAGCCTCCTGGCCTACCTGGCAGGGTCATTTTGCAGGAAGCAAAATGGGGAAGCTAAACCACCTGGACGGGACAGAAGGCAAGGCATATATTTTAATGTTGTATTTTAATCTCCACCTCAATCGTTCTGCCCGGACACTGAGGTCCAGCACCGAGGGCCTTCTGGCAGTTCCCTCGCTACGAGAAGTGAGGTTACAGGGAACCAGGCAGAGGGCCTTCTCGGTGGTGGCCCCCGCCCTGTGGAACGCCCTCCCACCAGATGTCAAAGAGCTAAACAACTACCTGACATTCAGAAGACATCTGAAGGCAGCCCTGTTCAGGGAAGCTTTTAATGTGTGACATCTTAGTTTATTTTTGGTCTTTGTGGAAGCCGCCCAGAGCGGCTGGGGAAACCCAGCCAGATGGGTGGGGTACAAATAATTATTATTATTATTATCTTGTTTTTAAGTTGTATTTCAATCAATTGTTTTCATACCTGGTGTTAGCCGCCCTGAGCCTGGTCTAGGCTGGGGAGAGAGGGGTATAAATACAATTTTATTATTATTATTATTATAGAGGGGAGAGAGGGGTATAAATAAAATTTTATTATTATTATTATTATTATTATTATTATTATTATAGAGGGGAGAGAGGGGTATAAATAAATTTTATTATTATTATTATTATTATAGAGGGGAGAGAGGGGTATAAATAAATTTTATTATTATTATTATTATTATTATTATAGAGGGGAGAGAGGGGTATAAATAAATTTTATTATTATTATTATTATTATAGAGGGGAGAGAGGGGTATAAATAAATTTTATTATTATTATTATTATTATTATAGAGGGGAGAGAGGGGTATAAATAAATTTTATTATTATTATTATTATAGAGGGGAGAGAGGGGTAGAAATACAATTTTATTATTATTATTATTATAGAGGAGAGAGAGGAGTATAAATAAATTTTATTATTATTATTATTATTATTATTATTATTATTATTATTATTATTATTATAGAGGGGAGAGAGGGGTAGAAATAATTTATTATTATTATTATTATAGAGGGGAGAGAGGGGTAGAAATAATTTATTATTATTATTATTATAGAGGGGAGAGAGGGGTATAAATACAATTTTATTATTATTATAGAACAGCCAAAGGAAACTTTGCAAAAATAAAGTTTCACCCAGTCAAGTCAGATTAAAACCTCTTTTTTATTATTAAAGCAGCCTCCCCTTCCCCCACAATAGAGGCCTCCTTAAACAGGCCCCCCTCCCCGAAAATAAAACCGCCTGGTGAGGCCCCGACCCCTCACCTCACCAGCCGCCCTGACCCCGAAGGAGACCCTGCAACTCACGCGCGTCACTGCCGCCTCCGAACCGGCTTTCTGGCGAGCTCGGCCGCTGCGCACGCGCCTGCCTCCCCCTTCGCCCCGCCCCTTCCGGATCAGGCTTCGGGAAGACCGCAACTCCCAGAAAGCACCGCGCCGCCCCGGGTTCCCCATTGGTGCACGTGACCCGGATGTGCCTCCCGGCGTCGCAACTGGCCGCCTTTCCCCCCTCCCGCTGGGGTTTAAGTGTCAATCACCGTACCCCGCGGCCAATCACCGGGAAGGAGGGCGGTTACGCAAGGTTTCTTAATGGAAGGGGAGTGAAGGGCAAAGGGAGGGGCTCCCTCTCCACTCCCCCCTCCCTCCCTTGAGAAGAGGAGGGGGGCAGTGCGGTGCAATGGTTAGAGTTAGCATGAAGCTCGCAGGGTGACCAGTGGGCTGATTTCTGTTTCTCTCTCTGACCTACCTTTGTTAATTTATTCATTAAAGGGAGGGGCTCCCTCTCCACTCCCTCCCTTGAGAAGAGCAGGGGGGCAGTGCGGTGCAATGGTTAGCGCGGCTGGCTAGGCCCTGGGAAGCCAGGGTTTAAACTGTTGTAAATAAAATATATGCCCTTTTCCCTTATGGGGTATCCAAGAGCCCATAAATAAAAACATCCTGAAGGTCCCAGGCCTCAGAGAGGTTAGGCTGGCCTCAACTAGAGCCAGGGCCTTCTCGGCTGCGGCTCCAATCTGGTGGAATGCTCTGTCACAAGAGACTAGGGCCCTGCGGGACCTGACATCTTTCCGCAGGGCCTGCAAGACAGAGTTGTTCCACCAGGCCTTTGGTCAGGGCGCAGCCTGACTCCCTCCTCTGGCAACCTGCACAGTATTTTGGTTGCCATCAATTTGATTTTAATTAATTTTTATAATGAAATATTTTAGAATGTGTGATTATTCAACTATTTGGTTATTTGATTGTTGTTAGCCGTCCGGAGCCCAGCTTCGGCTGGGGAGGGCGGGATATAAATAAAATTTATTTTATTATTATTATTATATAGAGTCCTTACATAGGTTCCCTATTGGTAGGAGAAAATAACAGAGGCCAACTAGAGAATATTGATAAGCAAAACAGCTAGTAAGCCTGATCTTTATTGATCTGTTGCAACAGGGTGCTTCCCTCACATGCAGGAAAGGAGGAGGACCCCCCAAAATGCCGTGCAAGGGCTTATCTCTGGTTGGCCTCTGTTATTTTCTCCTACCAATAGGGAACCTATGTAAGGACTCTATATGGGCTCTTGGATACCCCCTAAGGGAAAAGGGCATATTTTATTTACAACAAAACCCAGCGTCAGCCATGAAGCCCCCAGGGTGATTTTGAGCTGGTTACATTCTCTCTCTCTCTCTCATTCTAATCTACCTCGCAGGGTTGTTGTTGTTGCTTTGTTTACTGTATTAAATTTGTTTTTGTTTTATTATGTATTTTGTGTTTTCGTTTTGTACAGTGGTACCTTGCCAACAATGGGACGCGGGTGGCACTGGGGGTTAAACCACAGAGCCCAGGACTTGCTGATCAGAAGGTCGGCAGTTCGAATCCCCGCGACGGGGTGAGCTCCCGTTGCTCGGTCCCTGCTCCTGCCCACCTAGCAGTTCGAAAGCACTTCAAAGTGCAAGTAGATAAATAGGTACCGCTCCGGCGGGAAGGTAAACAGCGTTTCCGTGCGCTGCTCTGGTTCGCCAGACGCGGCTTAGTCATGCTGGCCACGTGATCCCCAAGCTGTCTGCGGACAAACGCCGGCTCCCTTGGCCCAGAGTCGGTCACGACTGGACCTAATGGTCAGGGTACCTTTACCTTGCCAACAAAGGTCCGTACAGTGGTACCTCGGGTTAAGTGCTTAATTCGTTCCGGAGGTCTGTTCTTAACCTGAAACTGTTCTTAACCTGAAACACCACTTTAGCTAATGGGGCCTCCTGCTGCCACGCCACCGGAGCAGAATTTCTGTTCTCATCCTGAAGCAAAGTTCTTAACCTGAGGTACTATTTCTGAGTTAGCAGAGTCTGTAACCTGAAGCGTCTGTAACCCGAGGTACCACTGTATAGTTAAAGCTATGGTTTTCCCAGTAGTGATGTATGGAAGTGAGAGCTGGACCATAAAGAAGGCTGATTGCCGAAGAATTGATGCTTTTGAATTCTGGTGCTGGAGGAGACTCTTGAGAGTCCCATGGACTGCAAGAAGATCAAACCTCTCCATTCTGAAGGAGATCAGCCCTGAGTGCTCACTGGAAGGACAGATCCTGAAGCTGAGGCTCCAAGACTTGGGCCACCTCAGGAGAAGAGAAGACTCCCTGGAAAAGACCCTGATGTTGGGAAAGATGGAGGGCACAAGGAGAAGCAGATGACAGAGGACGAGATGGCTGGATAGTGTTCTGGAAGCTACCAGCATGAGTTTGACCAAACTAAGGGAGGTAGTGGAGGACAGAGGTGCCTGGCGTGCTCTGGTCCATGCGGTCACGAAGAGTCAGACACGACTAAACGACTAAACAACAAAACCTTGGGTTATGACAAGGGACGCGGGTGGCGCTGTGGGTTAAACAACAGAGCCTAGGGCTTGCCGATCAGGTCGGCGGTTCGAATCCCCGCGACAGGGTGAGCTCCCGTTCCTCGGTCCCAGCTCCTGCCAACCTAGCAGCTCGAAAGCACATCAAAGTGCAAGTAGATAAATAAGTACCACTCCAGCGGGAAGGTAAATGGCATTTCCGTGCGCTGCTCTGGTTCGCCAGAAGCGGCTTAGTCATGCTGGCCACATGACCCGGAAGGAGTTTGTGTGAGGGAGTAATTGGCAATTTGGGTTTGCTTGTGATGTTATGCATTCTGTATTTTTATGTGACCGTCGGATAATTTAGGGTGGTATATAAATGTAATAAATGTCTGGAGGTCCTGGGCTGCCCAGACGACAATATTGCACCCCAAAACGAGTCAGCCTGTGCAAAAGATCCACAGGAGGGAGGGTCTCTCAGTCTTTCCCCCTCCCTGCAAAATCCAGACACCCCCTCCAAGTTGGGGCTGCAAAACTAAGTGCACCCGGGGCATTTGCAAAGATTTTTAAAAAACCAGGGCGATTCCTTTCCCCACCCGCTTACAGTCAACAATGGGAAAGGGAGTGAACAGGGAAACAAGCAAATTGTGGCAATATTTCTTCATAAAGTGCCATCAACGTTTAACCCAGGCATGTCCAAAGTCCATTTCGGGGGCCTAATCCAGCCTGCTGGTTGGTTTAATCCAGCCCCTGTGGCAGTTTATTTCCTGGGGTAAAAAAATGGTCAACAACTTAAGTTGGCCCTTTGGTTGGCCACTTCACTTCACTTCTGAACACGGAAGGGCGGGGTATAAATAAAAATTTATTATTTATTACATGAAATCAAACCAAAAGCAATAACACCCCCCCCCAAAAAAAAGCCACATTCTAAAAGTTCTCTATACAGGGCTGCCTTCAGATGTCTTCTAAAGTCACCTGGCTTTTCCTTGACATCTGGTGGGAGGGCGTTCTACAGGGCAGGCGCCACCACCGAGAAGGCCCTCTGCCTGGTAGTCATTGATAGCTCTCTCTCCTCCAGGAACTCCAGAATCATAGAACGGTAAAGTTGGAAGGGACCCTGAGGGTCATCTGGTCCAACCCCCTATTAACGCAGGAATATGCAGTTGTCCCAGCGGGGGATCGAACCTGCAACTTTGGCATTTTCAGCACCATGCTCTAACCAGCTGAGCTTATGCAGGCAGACTTCTCCAGTCCTCTTTCAAAGCTGCCCAAGTTGGAGACTTTAACAACTGGAACCATTTGGTGAAGGTGGAATAGCCCCTGAGGGAATCAGTTCTGGCAGAAGAGGAGCCAAAATGCCTACGGCCTCTCACCTCTCCCTCAGTTTCTGATTCCAGATAGGTGTGTCGTGCAATGAGGTAGAAGCACCAATGCAAATAAACTTGCGTGATAAGGCAAAAGCCAATGTGACTGATGGGTATGTTGTAGTTTTGTCATTTTATATCCTTTCAATCGATTGATTGTACTGGGAGGGTTCGTTTATTTAAAATTTCGCATCAACATGCTCTTCCTTCGCCGTTTCCCCCGTCTTTGGGCCCAAAAGCAGTATAGAAATAAACCACATAATAATATATTCTGTAATTTGTCTGCTGAGTGGAGCTGAGAAAGAGGTTCTGGTCTAAATCCCCTGTTATCTCTTGCTTGAAATCGGAAACTGAGTTTTTTTTTACATGGTTTGATTTTTTAACTGAACAGTCCAGCTATCAAAAACATAACATGCATCTCAATTTTATATCTTCACTAACATCTTAATGTCCAGAGTAATTATGATTATTATTTTAATTTTAATTTTTATTGATATAACAAGAAAAAAGAAAAAAACCACAAATGCCAAATTACACACAGGAATAACCATAGACACATAATTTTCTTAACAATCAATAAAACGTATATTGGTCTTAACACTAAAGGCCCAGCCTCCCGTCTATTCCATATTTCGATTTCATATTACTTATTGCCAATACACACCTATCATAATTAAACTTATATATCTAATTTCTTATATCTACCTTGCAACTATTACTGAAGTTCCTCGAATGCTGCAACAGAATTTAAACTGCTATATTTATTTTTCAAATATTCTTTGAAAACCTCCCATTTTGAAACAAATTCCTGTTTTGATTTAGTCTTTATTTTTTCTGATAGACCATCTAATTCGGCATATTCGGTCAGCTTTTGGATCCAATCTTGAATAGAGGGGAATTCATTAAATTATGCATTGTATGAACAAAAGTTCAAAACAAAAACAACCAAACAGAGTTAAAAGAACATACTTGCAGCCACTCAGCCAAAATCGGAAACTGAGTTGTCCATCAGCGAGACATTGCCTTCGCTTGTGTAATTTTTCTTCCTCCTTGCTCTGTGGATAACACCAGGCAAACATATGGAGGGTAAGGAGAACTACAATCCCCAGCATGCATCTGGGCTGCTGTCAGAATGGCTCGCTCAACCATGCTAGCATTGAGCATGAGCAAGTTTGTGTCCTGCTGGGATCTGTGGCTGATGAAAAAAGCAAGGGCTGCAAACCGGGGAGCGCATGCAAGGACCCCAGTTACATGCACCTGCCTTTTCCTGCATGAGCAAAACCGAGAGGCAGAGGGGACCCTTTTGCTTCGATTCCTGCAAGCTTCTGCAGTGAAAAAGTTGCACAGAGAATGCGCTTCTGAGGCCAGGAGAAGAGGACTGCTGCAGTGCCCTAAAGGTAAAGGGACCCCTGACCATTAGGTCCAGTCGTGGCCGACTCTGGGGTTGCGGCGCTCATCTCGCTTTACTGGCCGAGGGAGCCGGCGTACAGCTTCCGGGTCATGTGGCCAGCAGGACCAAGCCGCTTCTGGTGAACCAGAGCAGCACACGGAAACGCCGTTTACCTTCCCGCCGGAGTGGTACCTATTTATCTACTTGCACTTTGACGTGCTTTTGAACTGCTAGGTTGGCAGGAGCAGGGACTGAGCAATGGGAGCTCATCCCGTCACGGGGATTCGAAATGCCGACCTTCTGATTGGCAAGTCCTAGGCTCTGTGGTTTGACCCACAGCGCCACCCGCGTCCCCTGCTGCAGTGCCCTAAAGGTAAAGGGACCCCTGACCATTAGGTCCAGTCGTGGCCGACTCTGGGGTTGCGGCGCTCATCTCGCTTTACTGGCCGAGGGAGCCGGCGTACAGCTTCCGGGTCATGTGGCCAGCAGGACCAAGCCGCTTCTGGCAAACCAGACCAGTGCACAGAAACTCTGTTTACCTTCCCGCCGGAGGGGTACCTATTTATCTACTTGCACTTTGACATGCTTTCGAACTGCTAGGTTGCCCAGCCAAAACAGCAACATCTTCCATGGCAGGGGAAGAGAGAGGCTTGGTGCCTAGCTGGTAGAGGGGGTTACAGGTTTCAGGGGCAGCCAGTGGCAACGAGATCACTTGCCTGATCAACGCCACTTATGCCAGAGTTCTGGAATCGAACGCTTATCTCTAGACTGTCATTCCGGATGCGCAAATAAATCCTCCTCTGTTCTTATTAAGCTGTTGTTTCGATGGCATTACAGAGCAGCTGGGGATTGCAAGATCCTAATTTGAGTGCAAAATCCTGATTGATTTATTTTTTTTGGAAAGGGAGAGATCTACAGTGCTCGCTATGCTCCAGTATTGCGTCTGGGCTAGATGAGCTGTGCAGGGAATAGCACAGTTTACACGGTAAGTGTTTCACGAAGGATAAATGCACAATTGATCACGGCAGGCGCGGGAATGGGATAAGTTTTAGAGGGCTGCTGAATTATAAAAGGGTTCTATTTCTCTCTGATAGATAGATGTTAACTGTCATGCATGGAAATGTCCGTATCTGAGAACTGCTCCTGAAACAGGGAAGGAAAATTAGTATGCATATCTTAGCAACCGGTAGGGTTTCTTCCTTCCTTCACTGAATCTGAAATTTGACTTGGCTCTTAACACCCAGTCCTTTTAATGGGGTAAAATGTGGTCTAAATCTGTGTATATTGCAGTCTTTTCCAGGTAGTGAAGATAAGGAGCAAATATGGGATAAACGGTAACAAATATCTACTTAAGAGACATACAGCCTATAACTAGCCACTAGGGACCACTGCTTTCCTATTTTTTAAACCATTGCATCCTCTGAACACCCTAAGCCTGTGGACAGATATAGATGGCCATGTACCTATGTCTGTGCATAGTATTTGTGTACGTATGCAAGATGTTGGGATTCCGATATGCTGTCATTTACAGCACACCCCTCATAATGTCACTGTCAAGTAATGAAATAAAAAACACACATCTGTATTTATTGTCCTGTATGACTTCTGGCTGTTTGGGATGGCTATAGCAGCATACATTCTGTACGCAAATATTCCAGATTCAGTCCATGACATCTTTAGGTGTTAGGTGTCTGAAACCAGATTGAATGTTTCCCCATCTGAAGTGTTGAGCGGAAGACAGACAGTCTGGCGTCCCAGGATGTTGAATGCATGAAACACGTCTTATTACACTGTAGTCTCTATAAACAGGTTAGACAGCACCTAATCAAACCAATATTAACAGAACAACCTGGAATTGCTGACTCCTTTTATGTTATGGTTCTGCTTGAGGATAAAGGTAAAGGGACCTCTGACCATTGGGTCCAGTCGTGGCCAACTCTGGGATTGTGACGTTCATCTCACTTTATTGGCCGAGGGAGCCGGCGTACAGCTTCCAGGTCCTGTGGCCAGCATGACTAAGCCGCTTCTGGTGAACCAGAGCAGCGCACGGAAACGCCATTTACCTTCCCGCCCGAGCGGTACCTATTTATCTACTTGCACTCTGACGTGCTTTCGAACTGCTAGGTTGGCAGGAGCAGGGACCGAGCAACGGGAGCTCACCCCGTCGCGGGGATTTGAACCCCCGACCTTCTGATCAGCAAGTCCTAGCCACTGTGGTTTAACCCACAGCGCCACCCGCGTCCCACTTGAGGATAAGATACGTACTATTACACTGGCCATTGCAAAATTCCTATCGGAGCAGTAAGAATCAGAAATCAGTATGTAGCAGTGAGAATGTTAATAGCCAATAATTGGAAAGGAAATTATGTTTTAACCAAAGAAGAATGGCTGAATAAATTATGCAAATACTTGGAATTAGCAAAGTTGATTGATCAGATAAGACAAAAACCAAAAAATATAATCCAGAAACAATGGAAATGTCTAAATGCTTATTTATGTAGACAAAGATTAAATGGTTGTGTTTAGAATAGATTTATGAAAGATTTAGAAAACTTATTGATTCGAATATTTGTATGGGGGAAAAATGGAATAACAGATACAATCTTGCTTAAAATGTATATAGGAAGTGCAGTATAAGCGATGGAAGTCAATCAATGAAATTTTATTGTTGAGATATTTGTAGAATAAATTTGGAAGAAATTCTTCCAACTTTTCTTCTTCTTTTTCTCTTAATTTTTTCTTTTTCCCCCTTTTTTCTCTTTTGTTCTTTTTTTATATGTGTGTGCTTATCTGAAATATGTATGTATGTATTTGCAATATTTTGCTTATATTTTGTAATAATTATGTTAAATAAATTAAATAAAAAAGAAAGAAAGAAAAGAAACCAGTATGTACAGGCTAAAGCTCCTCTGTTGACTTAGCAAGGCAACTATTGCACCGTAATAACTCTTGATATATTCCATTGCTGTACTGTGTATTTTGGGTCTATGGGCTGCAACAAAGCTGTGTGTGTATTGCTTTGAAAAGTCCCAGAAATAGTGAGTAGAGTTCATTCATGACCTGTCTAATAAATACATCGTCACAAGTGCATTATTATAGATTGGCTGCATCTTTTAAAAGACAGGAGATGCTTCGCTGCACAGACTGCTAACGTGAGCTGTTAGAAATTTATGGTCAGTTACCTCCTTCCCAGTTTTGAAAACCAACAAAATAATTCACCATAGACATGATGATAGCAGCAAGCTTATCTCTGATGACCTTTCCTGACGATCCCAAAGACAGAATTCATCTTTTTCACAGCTGCAAGCATGCTGTGTTGACATTTTCCTGAGCTATCTGCCATGACCCCAAGAGTTATTTCCTGCCAAGTCACTGCCAGCTCATACCCCCATCAGTGTATTTATGAAGTAGCAGTGCAGAATATATTTTGTCCCAGCGTGTACCACTTTATATTCATTTTGCTGAGCCATTTTCTGAGAATCCTCCAGAAAAACAATCTCTCAAAGGACCTGTTGATAGCATTTTACCATTGCACTGTGGGGAGCGTATTAACTTATGGTCTGTGTGTGTGGTTTGGGAGCTGCACGGCCAGGGAAAAAACAATGCTGTCCAGGGTTGTAAAGACTGCAAAGAGAATAATTGGGTGCACTCTTCCCACCTTGGATCAAATCTATGCTGCCAGGTGCCATAAGAAAGCTGCAGAGATAGCGCAGGATAGTGCGCACCCCGGAAATGATCTCTTTCAGCTTCTGCCTTCTGGAAGAAGGTCCAGGGTTATAAAGACTAGGACTAGCCGCCTGAGAAACAGTTTCTACCCAAATGCAATTCTGGTTCTAAACACAGCATAAGGGGTCTCTATAGTATAGTGTATTTTAAAATGGGGTTCAGAGTTTTTAGGGGTTTTTGAATGTTTTATGTAGTTTTTATGTAGTTTTTCAATTTCATTGTTCTGCATGGGACAATGACAATAAAGATATCGTACATCGTATTTGCCATTTCATTGCCCCTGAACATTACACAAGAGGCCTGCTTTGCATCCGTTACTGAGAACAAAGTAAAGCAACAACTAAGGAACTTTGGCATTACTGGGAAATGTTGTGACCTGAGCTTTTACCATACAGAATAGCAATGTGATTGAAATGAATGCAGATATTACAAGTCCCTAATTTATCTTTTTTTGTTTGTTTCATTTTCAGTAAATTGGTCTCTCAAGCTTAAGGCAAGAAATAGTATTCTCTATGAAATTGAATATCAATATACGTATCAAGACTTTGAGATTAGACCACTGAATTAACCCAGAAAACTACCTTGGGAGTGGGCTACCTGCAAGCCCCAGTTAAAGGGCCCCATTGGGGGCGAACAGCGGCTTCTTGATTAATTGGACTGCCAGGGAGAAACTGGTGCAAAACGCCGTCACCCTGTCTCTACAACTTCATCAACATCCATCTACAACTCCACTAGCATCTCTCGGTATTGTGAACAACACCGAACTTAACCTTTTGTTGGTATCTTCATGAACTTACCTAAAAAGATAAAGAAAACAAAAGATTGAGTCGAGCACTTGGAAAAATCCATTGAAATCAGACATTGTAAGTTCCTCTTAGGTTGGGTAGTTCGCAAGTCTCTGTGGCTTTGCGTAAGTTTCTGTATTTTTCTCAGAAGACTGATAAAGAAGGCATAATCATTTTGGTAATTATTGTGTGTCTATTAGTCGCCAACGTCTTGCATGAGTCGTAATATTTCTTTCACGGCCGCAAACTGCAAGGAGGCTAGTCCAGATGTTTAAGGCTGAAATCAACTCGCTTTGAATTTTCAGGTATTGGCAGGTATGTTAAAGTCTTTTTGCTACAGTGCTTTTTTTCCAGGGGGTACTCAAGGATACGCAGTACTGGCGCCTCTTTTTGTTGTTAAAAAGTGTGGCATTTACTTTAATGATGATTAACAGCACCTCTTTTTTTTTTTTTTTTTGGAAAAAAACCACTGCTTAGCTATGAATATGTATGATTTAATTGCATGACAAGGTACACTGTTCTTTATGTTAGAAGCTCCTACCTTCATGTGGGATGAATGTCTTTATTGGAGAGGACCCCAACATTTTTTTTGGGGGGGGGAATCATGTGGTACTGTCTTCCTAGGACATTCAAAATTCAAGTAGCAAATGGTTTTGTGCGCTCTCTCCACAAATGCAAAAATTTCTTGCCCCATAAGACAGAGCTTGGCAAATAATGTTCTGTTTGTTAGCCGTTCAGTGACATCTGTGCATCATTCTGCAGTGTGACGTGTGCTTTTGCGCAACAGAGCGGCAGTGCTAGAATTAGAGAGGAATCGGTTTTGTGCAACTGTTCCCAAAAATGAATTGAGTTTTATATGCACATCTTCCTCTTTGCATCAAAGCTGAGAAATATATCAACCTACTTTCTTTTTTAAATGGAACTTTACAGGAACATTATTGGGCAAATATGACCCTGCAGTGACCGAGGATCAACGAACTTCCCTTATATTCCCAGGAAAATATCTTTAAACGAACCATAAGGTCAGTGGCAACCAAAAAGGACCTAAACTCTATGTACATATATACATGCACCCCATTATATTTTAATCTTAGAGAGGCCTACACCTTATTTTAATGAATTGACTTTTGTACAACTTCGGAAAGCTTTTACAGAGTTACGATTAAATACAATAATCTCTGCTTATAGAGATGGGAGACACAGAGGCATACCAACAAACGAACGTGTTTGCATTAGGGGATGTCCTGAAGTAGAGGACCTTATGCATTCTATCTTGCACTTTTAGCACCTATAATGACAAGGTCCCCTGGCCAGAATCCCTCTGACATGATTTTGTATCTCCTCGCAGACACAGATAAGTATGTGACCTGGCGTGTGGCACTCTTTGCAACTGACGCTAGGAAAATTAGAGCAAATTATATAGCCAAGATAGCCACCAACTGTAAAGGAGATGAATTTATTTGACCCTATCTACATCAAGCTATATTCTGTCTTTATCACCAAACTCCGAATATAATTGCATATTGTATTAACATTATTTTTTAATATATTAGTGGCCATGTGGTGATTTTAGCCTATAAATTTTATTGTTTAATGTCTTAACCTGTATATTAAGGTATTTTTATAGCTCTGTTTAGAGTAGGTAATGTCTTGATAATGTAAATGTTTTAAGTTTTTTATATTCATCCAGCGTATTTTCTTTTAATTGTTGAATGATTCTGTGTACATTGCGGCAGCCTTTGGCTACGTGCAATAAAACTGACCGACTACAGGAACATTACAAAACTTGAATTTGATTTTTCTCTGGCTTTCTCTCCTCCCTCTTATTTTAGATCTCGTTCCACAATGTTGAAGAGGTCTGATGATGCCTCCCTCTTCCTTTGCGCCCGCCACCTGCCCGCCTGATAAGACTTGGCTCCAGAATGAACATAGCGTCCGTGTTTAATGCCTTGCTAGTGTGTGTCCTTGCGGCTGTGCTGTGGAACTATGTCAAGCTGCAAGACCACGTCTCCGTCTTGGAAGAGGAGTTGCTCCTCACTCGCCAGACACAGGAGCTCTCTCAGGTCCGCATTGACTACCAGGCGGCTCTTCAAGACCTGCTGCAAGATGGCACCAGGATGGTGTGCACCGGCAAGATCCACACGGATCGGATCTGCCGCTTTGAATCCCTCTGCTATTCCACGGAGGCTGAGGAATTCATCTTCTTCCACAGCAACTCCTCCATCATGCTCCCCAACTTGGGCCCCAGGAGATTCCAGCCTGCCCTACTTGATCTCTCTTCAGTGGAAGACCACAACACACAGTACTTCAACTTCGTGGAACTGCCAGCCGCGGCCCTTAAATTTATGCCAAAGCCAGTGTTTGTCCCCGACGTGGCCCTGATCCTCAACCGATTCAACCCGGACAACCTGATGCATGTTTTTCACGATGATCTCCTCCCGATCTTCTACACCATGCAGCAGTTCCCAGATTTGGACCAGGAGGCCAGGTTGTTTTTCATGGAAGGCTTTAGCGAAGGCCCGCATTTTGAGCTGTACAAACTGCTGAGCAGCAAGCAGCCGCTGTTAAGAGAGCAACTTAAGACTCTGGGCCGTCTCCTCTGCTTCACCAAGTCGTACGTGGGACTGTCCAAAATCACCACGTGGTACCAGTACGGGTTTGTCCAGCCGCAGGGGCCGAAAGCCAACATCCTGGTCTCCGGGAACGAGATCCGCCAGTTCGCCAAATTCATGACCGAGAAGTTGAACGTGAGCTTGGAAGGGACGCCCGCCGAAGAATATATTGTGGTATTCAGCCGAACCATAAACAGGATAATTCTCAACGAGGCGGAACTCATTCTGGCGCTCGCCCAGGAATTTCAGATGAAAACCATTACCGTTTCCATCGAAGACCACACATTCTCGGATATCGTGCGCCTGATCAGCAACGCCTCCATGCTAGTCAGCATGCACGGAGCGCAGCTCTCAATGTCCCTCTTCCTTCCCAGGGGAGCCACTGTGGTGGAGCTTTTCCCGTACGCTATAAACCCTGAGCACTACACACCTTACAAAACGTTGTGTACCCTTCCTGGCATGGACCTCCAGTACGTTGCCTGGCAGAACACCGAGAAGGAGAACACGGTCGCTTACCCAGACAGGCCCTGGGATCAAGGAGGAATCGGCCACTTAGACAAGGCAGAGCAGGACCGTATATTGAAGAGCAGCGAGGTTCCCCGGCACCTCTGTTGCCGGAACCCGGAGTGGCTTTTCCGCATCTACCAGGACACGGAAGTCAACATTGCTTCCCTGATCCAGGTGGTCAGGCAGACCGTGAAGACGAAGCCCGGGCCTAAGAGGCAGGCGTGGACCAGCAGCCTCTACCCAGGCAAAGTCAGAGGTGCCAAGTGCCAAACCTCCGTCCAGGGCGCCAGCGAAGCCAAACTCTCTGTGTCCTGGCAAATCCCTTGGAACCTGAAGTACCTGAAGGTCAGGGAAGTGAAATACGAAGTGTGGATACAGGAGCAAGGGGAAAACACGTACGTGCCTTACACCTTGTCCCATCAGAACCACACCTTTTCGGACAACATCAAGCCCTTCACAAACTACCTAGTGTGGATCCGCTGCATTTTCAACAAGAATCTCCTCGGGCCCTTTGCAGACGTGCTGTTGTGCAGTACGTAATTGCCACCCAGTTGCTTTTGAGGGGGGGGGGGAGTTGATTCCAGCAAGGGGCTTTGAAATAAGGCAGAATGGTCCCCATTGTCCTGTAGTTTTTCAAGAAGCAGGCCAGGACTTATAGACCACGCTAGTGCCTCTGTGTCCATTTTATTGCGCCCATTATCGTGCCCGTCTCTGTGGCATTATTTCCTGTCGGTGTTTGAGTTCTCTTGGTCCTTGAAAAACACCTACGCAAACTAAACTGGAATGGAAGGTAGATGTTGTACTTTGACACAATAACCGGAACATCTCTCTCTTTTGTCTAGTGAATAATTTAAGCCCATATTTCTGATGGAATTTAAGTGTCTCTCTGAATGGGCAATCTCTTTTGTGTTCTCCACTGTTCAGATTTATGTTTTATGCTCCCCTCCCCAAATACCTGTCTCCCAGAGCAGCATATCTGGTACCAGAGTCCATCATTAAATTGTTGAAAACCTGTCTATAAATGTACAAAAGTATGGTTTTCCTTTCGTTTGGGGTTCTCAGCTTCCTCCTTTCTGAGATTGGTTGGGACCCTGCGGCAGTAGTCTATACCTCATTGACAGGGAACTGCCATCAGCTCAGAGGCGAGAGATGGAAGGGCAGTTGTGTTATAGGGAGCCTCCGAAAATCTTGCGTGGGGCTACCTTTGAAGGTGACCCGGAAACTGCAATTAATCCAGACGTGGCAGCCAGACTGGGAGCGGCCGCCGAGACCACATAACACCGGTCTTGAAAGACCTACATGGCTCCCAGTACGTTTCCGAGCACAATTCAAAGTGTTGGTGCTGACCTTGAAAGCCCTAAACGGCCTCGGTCCAGTACACCTGAAGGAGCGTCTCCACCCCCATCGTTCTGCCCAGACACTGAGGTCCAGCTCCGAGGGCTTTCTGGCAGTTCCCTCATTGTGAGAAGTGAGGTTACAGGGAACCAGGCAGAGGGCCTTCTCGGTAGTGGCACCCACCCTGTGGAACAGCCTCCAGATGTGAAGGAAATAAGTAGCTATCCTATTTTTAAAAGACATCTGAAGGCAGCCCTGTTCAGGGAAGTTTTTAATATTTAAGGCTGTATTGTTTTTAATACTTGATTGGGAGCCGCCCAGAGTGGCTGGGGAAACTCAGCCAGATGGGCGGGGTATAAATAATAAATTATTATTATTATTATTATTATTATTATTATTATTATTATTATTGCGAAGCACTTCCTCTTCCGGCGAGGAGGGAAGCCCCACCTCCAGTGGAGAAGAGGTACAAGGGCCAGAGGATGCTAGGGAGAGCCTTAACACTGAGCCTGAGCAAGCCAGAGAGGCGGTAAGCACGCCCTTGCCAGCGCCCATTCAGCACAGTAGTCTTCGGCGCAGGGAGGGGCGGAAAAGGCTGGGGGTGACGCGACTTTTCTGCTGGGGGAGGTACAAAAACCGACCACTCCCGGATTCTGCTAGCGATTGAGCCGGACACGAACTTACGACGTTCTTCACTGTAAATAGTTTGCACCAAGAATAAAGCCACTTGTGCTGGTCCCAGGGGGGGGGGTGTTACCATGAGGCGTGGTCAGAGTCTGGTCCTGGGTCAAGGGTCTGGAGTCTGTCCACCAAGGGCGAAGCGGGGTCCAAAGCAAGAAGCCGGGTGTGGTCGGGAACTCCGGAAAAACAGGTCTGGGTGCTGGCAGAAACAGGTTTCCAACAACGTTGCTCCCGCAACCTGGGACTGGGCTGACTGGCCTTTATCTCCTCTGAGGCCAGGGGCGGCCCCGGCCCACAGGTGACCCGCCTCTCCTGGCCTTAAGGCGAGCACTCTTCCTGGGAGAAAGCAGTTCCCTCCGCCTCTCTGCCCTGAGCCTCTGCAGCTCAGGAGAGACTGGAGGGTTACTGGACCCAAGGGCAGCTTCACCTCCCCCTGACAGGGCTGGGAGAGGAGCACCTGCAGGCAATGGGTCCTCCATCACCTCTGGGGCCAGAGTGGATACATCTGGTGTCTGCTCCTGAGGATCCAGCATAGGTGAGGGCCCTTCAGGTTCAAGCCCCTGCCCCAGCTCAGCCGGCCCTGAAGTTGGTGCAGGCTGGGGCTCTTCAGGTTCAGCTTCTGAATCAGATTCCCAGGCCATCACACCAGTAAAAGACAGGTCGGAGTTTTGCCTAGTTCCTCTCGAGCAACCACAACAGCATCTGACCCTCGTAATAAAGGATTAGGCGTCTCAGCCGATTTGCTCCATCAGTTGCTTTGGTCAGGGCCGTCTTAAGCATATCCGGTGCCAGGGTGCAAAGCTCCCTCTGCCACCCCCACCGGTTGTCGAGGATGGCGCTGCCGGCGGGGCTGGAGGAGGCGGGCAGCAGCTGGAGGGCAGCTCCTCCAGTGGGGAAGAGGTGGAGGCTGGACGCGGCGCCTCCCAGCTCAGCTGGCCGATTTGTGCCATGGTGGCCACGGCAGACGGAGGCTCCACGGAGAGCCAGTGTGGTGTAGTGGTTAAGAGAGGTAGTCTTGTAATCTGGGGAACCGGGTTCGCTTCCCCGCTCCTCCACATGCAGCTGCTGGGTGACCTTGGGCCAGTCACACTTCTTTGAAGTCTCTCAGCCCCACTCACCCCACAGAGTGTTTGTTGTGGGGGAGGAAGGGAAAGGAGAATGTTAGCTGCTTTGAGACTCCTTAAAGGGAGTGAAAGGCGGGATATCAAATCCAAACTCCTCCTCCTCTTCTTCTTCTTCTTTTTCTGGGCGCGACGCTGCTTTGGCACAGCATGGCGGTGGCAGGCGAGGGCGGCAAGCTGATGCCAGGAGGTGCCGCGTCCAGCCTCCGCCTCTTCCCTGCTGCCCTCCGGAACTTGGCGCCCTGGCGCCCCGCGCCACTAGCCTCTATGGGTAAGACGGCCCTGGCTTTCGTTGTTCTGTTTTTCTCTGACCATTGGGGAAACCCAGAGATCTCCCAGACGGGCTCCTTCACCTCCCTTAAGGGAGAGGAGCCTTTTTATTTGTCCTTTTCGGTATAGGCAGTTAAAATCGTTCGTAGGATTGGAATATCACTTGTAGTTGAATGGTGAATTTTGGACACAACGGAGAGGTAAAAGATTTGGATTGTCATAGAAGACGCTGGAGGAAACGAGTAGCAATAGGACCCCCAAAGGGGAAGAGGGGAAGTCTGGGAGGTTCCTTGGAATCTTGTTTTTATGTTGTATGTTAGATATGTGACTGTAGCATTTGTATCTGAAAAACCAAATAAATAAATTTTTAAAAAGGAAGAAAAGCTCGCCCTATAGCCAATACCAATATCTTTTTTTTTTTTGCAAAATTTTTAATAGTTTTTACAATATCAACGACAAACAAAAACACAAGACAAACAAAACATAACATAAATCATAACCTTATTGAAAATAACAGTTATTTACTTTGTAAAACGACTTCCTCGTTTCCCCTTAGTTGAATTCTATTGCATATCCTTATAACGGTTTTCCAAATCCCAATTTTGATACCCTTTAAATTAAACATTAACATCTTTAAATCTTCTCCTTCTTGTATTAAGCATATTATTTTATCAGTTAACATAAATACAATCCTAAACCCATTAAGTATCTGGAAGCTATTTCCAGTTAGTTTTGCTTAACAAGTTTAGCTAAATAATCATTAAATTTCTTCCATTCTTCATGGTGTTCCTCCTCCTTCTGGTCGCAGACTCTTCTGGTTAGATCGGCTAGCTCCAAAAAGCCCATCATCTTCATCTGCCATTCTTCTACTGTTGGTAATTCTTGAGTTTTCCACTTTTTAGCTAACAAAATACGAGCCGCAGTTGTGGAGCTGTAAAGTTGGCAAAAATGTATAGGACGAGGGATCAAAAATGTTGCAAATGCAAGGAAGCTGGTGGAAACTTTTACCATATGTGGTGGATTTGCGATAAAGTTAATAATTTTTGGGAGATGATTTAGAATGAACTTAAGAAAATATTTAAATTTAGCTTTCCCCACAAAAAAGAAGCCTTCTTGCTGGGTTTGATGGGGAAAGGGATTAAGAAATCGGACCAAAGACTGTTTATGTATGCCACAGCAGCGGCAAGAAACATGCTGGCCCAAAATTGGAAATTACAATAAATTCCTACCATTGCGGAGCGTAAGATGAAAATGATGAACTATGCGGAGTTAGCCAAGCTGACTGGCAGGATTCGAGATCAGGACGATCAGAGATTCATAGAAAGTTGGAGTAAATTTATGCTGTACTTAAAGGATAATTGTATTAAGGAATAAGGGATACCTGTTGAAGGGAAGGAGGGAAGTCACAAGCTCGGCAGAGCTAAAAGTATATATGTGGTTTGATGTATTGTATAAACCTGTGTTGAGAAAAATAATAAAAATTTATTGATAAAAATATATATATCTGGGAGACTTCCGCCCAATAACTGGCTCCCCGGTATTGACTAGAGTCTTCCATAAGATCCTGGCTGCGTGATTGACTAGGGATGTCAATCTAGACCCAAGACAATGGGGCTTCCAGCAGTTTGATGGGTGTTCCAAAAACATCTTCCTCCTGGATATGGTACTTTGGTATCATAAGCAATGGTCTAAACCGTTGTATATGGCCTCCCTGGAGGTGGCGAAAGCATTCGACTCTGTGGCCCATAATACCATCAAGGAAACCCTTCAAATGATGGGGCCCAAAAATGGAAGCAAGAAGAGTTACCGACGATTGAAGAATGGAGGATGACGTTAATGGGCTATGCAGAATTAGATAAACTAACAGGAAGGATTCGAAACCGGCGAGACCAGAAATTCACGGAAGACTGGAGTAAATTTACAGACCATTTGAAAAGTAATTGTGAAGAACAGACGACGTTTGTAGGGTTGCAAGAAGTTTTGTGAGGAGTATTATTAGAAGTATTGTAAAAATGGAGAAGGGGGAGGATGATTTGTTAAGAGATGTAAAGGCAATATAAAGTCAAGAAATGCATAAGAAGTGGTTAAAACGGTGGATCATCAGGGGTGCTGATGGAAGTCTAAAAAGATTGTATAAGTGATAAGTTTTGTGGTACATTTTATAATTTATATGTTAAAATTAATAAAAAATATTATAAAAAAAACTAATGATGGGGATCGCTGACCCGATGACACACTACATAAGCGATGTCTATGACTGGAGTACCACCATACTTTTGTGCAGTTGCGTGACCTCCCAGGAATTTCACCCCAGGTGTGGGGTGAAGCAAGGTGACCCAATGTTGCCCTGTATATTTAACATGATTATGGACTGCCTCCTTCGGAAGATACCGAAGGAGGTAAGGGCCAACCTGGGAGAGGGCGTGTCAGGGAACGGCGTAGCCTTTGCTGATGATCTGGTACTGGTGGCGTCTACACCAGTAGGCCTACAAACTACCATCGACATAGTGGGTGGACATCTAGCACTATGTGGCCTCGCTGTAAGCTCCGGAAAGAGCTTGACAGTATCCCTGAAGAATGTTCCCAGGGAGAATAGAATGGTGGTGAACCCGCGGCAGGTATTCACCTGTAACA